ATATAATAACTTTTATAATCCATAGCCCAAATAAATAGTTTAAATATCCTACAAAAAAGATAACCCTTTATGAAGTCGTCAAAAAACAAACGTTACGGCAAATTTTTTTCTATGCACAAATCCCTTTCATAAAAAAATAAAATAAAAAAATAATTAAATCTCCCTAGACACGCAAACTAGACTAGAGTTAATACTTCTTTCGTTCCAAATTTAGACACCCCCACCTTTCCCTGAAAAGACATCTATAAAAGTTACTCTATACTGATACTTATTATTAACACCCAACACACGCTTACCCAATTTAAACAATTCGCCCTAGCTGTTACCATGGAAATTTTGATTTCAATTATTAAAACACGTAAATTTCAGAAATACGTTATTCAAAAAAAAAATTCGCTTGAAGATGGAACAGACCTTATTTTAACTCAATTTAATTCAAATAATTATATTGAAGTTTTCGGCTCTTGTTTTGAAACATGAGACCTCTTATGTCGCGAGTTGGAATCATATTTTTAAATAAATAATTATATATTAGGTTGGTGCAAAAATAATGTCGTTTTCTCACATATGTTAATTTTATATATGATTTCTGAATTAATTCATTGATATATATAGCCATGTTATATATCATTTTGAAGCGCGTTTTTTCGCTCTATCGAATCCTGTTATTCGTTACCGTTATCAATCTCTTCATTCATTTTTTGCAGGCTTTTTCGACAGCATGGAAAAATTCAAATCCGCACGATTTTCTTGTTCCAGTTTAAACCAGGCCGAAAAGCTGCCGAGACAGCTCGTGATATCAATGATGCGTTTGGCCCAGGAACCACTAACGAACGTGTGGCACAACGGTGGTTCAAGAAATTTTGCAATGGTGACGAGAGCCTCGAAGATGAAGACGGTCGCGGCCGGCCGACTGCGGTTGATAACGAATATTTGAAAGCCTTAATTGAAGCCGATCCTCGCAAAACCACACGAGAAGTTGCTGTTGAACTCGAGGTCGACCATTCAACAGTCGTTCGCCATTTAAAGCAAATAAGGAAGTCAAAAAAGTTGAATAAATGGGTGCCGCATGAATTGAACGGTAATCAAAAAAAATCGTCGTTTTGAGGTGTCTTCTACGCTCCATCTGCGCAACAAAAACGACCCATTTCTCGAGCGGATTGTGACGTGTGATGAGAAGTGGATCCTCTCGCCCACCGATTATCATTTTTTCAAGCATCTTGACAACTTCCTGCGCGAAAAATGCTTCAAAAGCCGAGATGATGCCGAATCGGACTTCAATCACTTCATCGCTTCCAGAAATCCGGATTTCTATGCTAATGGGATAAATAAACTTGTTTCTCGTTGGCAAAAATGTGTCGATTCTAATGGTTCTTATTTCGATTAGTAAAGTTTATTATGAAAGGAGTTATGATCTTTTGAAGTTGAACGTCAAAAAACGACATTATTTTTGCACCAACCTAATATATATATATATATTTACATACGAATACAGACATACACACACATATACAATACATACACATACAGGTATATATATACAACCTGTATCTATCTATCTATCTATCTATCTATATATATATATATATGTATATATATATATATATATATATATATATATTATTATTATTATTATTATTATTATTATTAATATATTTATATATATTATTATTATTATTATTAATTAAAGAATATCAAACACTTAAAATCCCGTAGGTAATAATTTTTATTTCATGAGAACAGTTCTCAATCTTCAACACCTACAAACAATTTTTTTTATTTGTTTGTAGGGCATGAAATTGGGAGCTGCTGTTTCTGGAGCTCTCATGAAATAAAAATCCTTACCTTGGGGATTTTAAATGTTTAATATTCTTTAATCAATGATAATTTTGCCCTGTATCTTGCCATAGAGATCTACCTGGATCTATGTCCTCTTGGGAATTCCATACGTATTATATATATATATATATATATATATATATATATATATATATATATATATATATATATATATAAATTTATCAAATTTTATATACCTGTACGATGTTAAGAAACTTCCTGACAGAGGGAAATATATATTTGGCTACCTACCATATCTATCACATCTAAGATCAAAAAGAATTTATCAAAGCTTAACATAAAATTTGTTAAAACTACTTCTAAAACAAAATAATACTTAATTAAACCAAAACAAAATAATACTTAATAATAATATGACAAAACATGAATTAGGGATTAACTCTATCATCTGTAATAATTCCAATAAGGGATACAAAGTATACACCTCGAGGATTATAAATAAAATATATGAAAATAAAAGGGATCTTTACATACTAAATACATGAGTGGGTCACTGGCATGAGCCTGATCGTAATTTAAATTTAAAAAATGCTACTACTGAAAAAAATGAGACTATATAGGACGTGCTTTGACCACTAAAACATTCACAGTAATTTTGCGTCCAGATTCTTACAACAATTCAGATTTCTTTGACAGAGCTTCGATTATCAGTGTAGGATATATGATAAAAATATATATATTAACATGATAGAAATATGGAGAAAATGGAACTAATTGAAATTGATTAGACTATATATGCAAACATATATTTTAAAAAATGAATATAATTGTTTAAATTTTCAGCGACACCTCCCCTTCGTGTTAATGTGCAGTTACGTCAATGTAAACGTCACTTTAGTCAAATGATGTCCAAAAGGACAAAACATCTCACATGATTTTTCCCACTTTGACATTAATTTACTGAATATCTCTCTCTCTCTCTCTCTCTCTCTCTATATATATATATATATATATATATATATATATATATATATATATATATATCAGAGTTGTGTTAAAAGAACCACTCAAGCGGTGCACAACCCCGCCATTAGCAACCATTTACTGGACAATCCCGACTTTGTCTCCGATTATATTGACCCATTTTTTTCCATTTTACATGGTGCTCGCTCGGTTCACCTTCTTCGGGTTCCTGTGGCTGTTTATATTAAGTTTCATCAGCCTACCCTATGTAAACAAAAGAAACACTTTATTCGTTACCTACATTTGATCGAAGGATTATGAGTAACATTTTCAATTTTATATTCTTTTGGGAACTTGGTATTTTGTTTTTAGTCTCTAATTTATTTATAACAAAAATCTACTTTAATCGTGTTCCCATTTTCCCTCGTCATTCACTATTTACTTAGGTGTCTTTGACTGTTTCCTGCTGCTCGTCAACGTTTAACTTTTGAGAAAGTGTTGGACGAAAGGGTTTACCTCAACGTAATATAATGACGTCTATTATATTTAAGTATACAGATATATATGAATATATATATATATATATATATGAAGAAATATATTCTTAAGGTGTGCTATATTTATGTGATAAAGTGTTTAGTATCAGAGATAGAGCGTGTGTAAATATAAAAGTGAACATTGAAGTCAACACTTAGAGGCGGCAGACGCAATCGTCAGGCCACGAATGTCGTTTTTTTCCGGCTGAGAAAAACACAACACCTGTGGCTTGACGATTGCGTCTAGCATGAAATAGCCTGTCGATTCTATGTGTTGACTTCAATGTTCACTTTTACATCTATCTATCTATGTATATATTTAATGTATATACATATATATATGTACGTATATATATATATATATATATATATATATAATTCTATTTTACTGTAAAAAAAACATGCAGAGTGTCCATAACGTATCTTTACAGTTTAAAAAAATACTACAAAAGCAATTGAACAAACAAATATGTGGAAATTGCTTGAAAACGATGAGTACATATTAAAGTTTTTTTTTTTAACTAATTTAATCCAACTCTATATGAACATCATTAGTTGCACGAAAGACATGAAGACAATACTCGATTTCTTGTCATGTTCACTGTGACATAGTCTTATCAACGGTGGTAATGACACCAGTGATCTTTTGCTTTCAATCAGCGATATCCCGTATCTTTGTTCGATACACGATATCTTTAACATAACCTTATAGAAAGAAACCCAGGGGTGTGATATTTCTTGAACGAGGCGACCAGGGAATTGGGCCATCCATTCCAATCCACAGTGATTTAGGAACCCATGAACATGCAGTCCCCAATGTGGTTGTGCACCATCTTACTGGAAAATAATGGTTGGTTGAAGATCATCTCGTAGTGGTGCCGCATCCATTACCTTTGAAATATATTTTTTAAATTGTAAAGAAACTTCATAGATACATGTATATATCTTGAATACACTAAACTAAATTATTTTTCTGCAGCAAAAATTAACATAGGTAAACAGTGTGGAATTATGTTGGTCTTTTTTTATATAACTTTTTTTATTTATCGAACCGATTATTATCGAACCGATTATTATCTTTTTCGATCACTGTAAAATGCTTTGATGGCGAAAACCTTCTGAAATGAAAACCAGGTTCAAGAGTTCGTTGAAATCTTTTTTATATCAAAACCTGCAGAATTCTGTTCAAACAGCATTGCAGAGATTACCGATATGTGCAAACAAGTATGCTTTCAAATATACATATTTTGTACATAATCTTATAATTTCAGGTTAAACCTATCTTTAATGTGTGAATGAGAGTTTAATATATCAGTCGAAATATTCTTGTTTTCATAACGCAAATATTAAGGCGTTTTTACATAAAAAGCAAAAACTCTTATGATCCAAGGGAGGCGGTTTTTAATTCTCATAGAAAATGCTGTTTCTATCTTTACCGAGTCTCTTTTTGTGCCGTGACAAACATCGTGGGATGAAACCAAAATTAAACGAAATTCGATGACTCGAGCAGGTGTCATTGGAAATGACAAATGGAAATACCACCGGGATTTTCTTGGGGCAAATGCCGAGATCGGTGCAAAGCATCTTAATTAACTGGGCAGCGCGGATGAGGCTAATCACTGTCCTGACAATCTCAAGCGACATAGCAAACGAACGGTTTTTCAATGGCAGCTCTGTACACACACACACACACACACACACACAGATAGATAGATAGATAGATAGATAGATAGATAGATAGATAGATAGATAGATAGATAGATAGATAGCATCAGACTGAGATGACATCAGACTGAGATAGATATATAACATCATGCTTAACTGGCTAGAAAGAAAGAGAGAATCAAGCTTAGATAGATAGAAAGAGGGGGGTATAGATAACATCATAGTGAGATAATATCATACTGAGATAGATGAAAAGAAAGAGAGAAAGAGAGAGTCAGACAGATAGATAGATAGATAGATAGATAGATAGATAGATAGATAGATAGATAGATACGCAAACAGGGATAGATAGATAGATAGATAGATAGATAGATAGATAGATAGATAGATAGATAGATAGAGAGATAGCATCATACTGAAATAGATGAAAAGAAAGAGAATGAGAATCAAACTGAGATAGGTGAATAGAAAGAGAGAGAGAGAGAAAGAATCAGATAGATAGATAGATAGATAGATAGATAGATTAGCCTATCACCCATTCTTACGAACCTGGTGTTGAAACAATGCTGATACATAAAAATGGAAAAAATAACGTATAAATAAAAATGCATTTGCAATTCTTAAAATCTAATTTCAGAAACGATATATCTCCATCATCGTGAGAGCTTTTTCGACTTGGAGTCACAATGGAAATCATTGTCATTTCTCATCTTCGGTAACTTTGTAAATATCTCTTTTCATTTCACTTTAAAGCTTCCTGTCTTGTCGTAAATCAAAGAATTACTGCAAGTTTTCCAACATCTCACTTTTTATTTTATAGGGAATGACGGAACTTTATTGATAGTTCTTTTAATATTGTTTATCAATTTGCATATTATGTTGGTTTAAGTTATTAATTTCACTTAATATTAATTTTCTTATACCTTAGGATTTATACCTTTAGTCTGAATTCATTCATATTTCTTCCTTTTATTCTTCAGATGAAAAACGGATATTCTGTCTGCGATTTTCCAATGTCTATGGATGTTGTTCTCTTATTTGGTATCGATAACAAAATCATTTCCATAATATTTACTGTTTCCAAAGTTATTAACTAGCGCAGCCTAACTCCGTTGTTGATATCCATTCTTTAATTTTAGTTTGTTGGCGATAACATACATCAACAGTAAAACTATCAACGTCCCAATAATTAGAGAGCCATATTCTAATAATAACGAGTCAATAATTCTTGCTTTTCCTTTTTCACAAGTCCGCTAAGTTTAAATGTCCTGTTGGTAAAATCTTTAAATGTAACTGGAGATATTTATTTTTTATATACGAAGTTACCGATTTTTAACGGTTGATAATCGAAAATTTAATTAGCTTCTCAACTGAAAAAACTATATATGAAGTGCATTCCAGAAGTCTTGAGACTTTTTCAGGAGAGACATTTATTAATTTAAAATAAGTATAAGACTGATTTCCTTCAAAGTAGAATACTCTGATTTCAATGCGCTTGCTGTAACGCCCCAATCACTCTGTGAAGGCCACATTGCAGCCATACAAAATGAAAGTGTCCAGGACCTTTGTCACATTCTGCTTCGTATTCTTGGGTACTCAGTGATGAACAGAAGAAAAGATGCGCTGGTGGCAGCTGAGAGATGATTGATGGTCACTGATACTCACTATTGTCTACAGATAGTTTCTTGTGACTTTTGGTTGTTCCTCGAACAGGGACAGTCAGTGTGAAGAGCACCCAAGAACAAACTTTGCGCATGTACAGATTTTCATGAATAATTCTGTGTGCATTTGCTACACCAACTCCAAACTGTATGCTTGTTATCTTTAGAGACATATGACAATCTTCATCCAGAAAATTGCGAATTTTCTTAACCAGCTCCGATGTTCTTACGTCCACACCCCAGTTGTCTCTCTCACATCGATCATTGTCTCTCGCGTCCTCTCCACCGTTTTTGAATCTCTTGTGCCAGAGGAAATCAGATGCACGTTAATCCATAAGCAGTTTGGAGGATGTTTTACGTTTCTGTAGTATTTTTGCCCAGTTTTACCCAAAACATTTTTGCATAGCGAACTTCCAAAATATCTTCACGTCATGACTGCATTCTGCAAACTTGTCTGTAGTGACAATGTTTACAAGGGTGTGTTCAAAGAGCTTTTACAACGGGTCCCCATCAGTCTGCAATAACAAATGATGATAAGTCAACTTATTCGATGTATAGTAATTATGTACTAAAACTAAAATAAATTAGGTTAAGTTATAATTGCCTCTCCAAAAATGTCTCATGTCTTCTTGAATGCACCTCATAGTTAACCCTAGAACACTAACCATCAGTTAAAGTTACACCATTAGTAACTGTTGTGTATGATACACCTAATTTACATAAGCGGACTACCGACCATATAAATATGGGTTGGTACCGGAAGACGGGGAAGATAGTAGAGATTAAGAAATTGAATCCAGAGACTCTGCCCGACTGCGATTTAGTCAACCCATTATGCAGGAACAGTCTTCCCAAGAATATACCAAACTAACTGTAAATATTGTGTACCTATTCTTTGTTTCAATACATTTTGTTAACGTACATTTTGTGTTGTATTATTCCATGCTTATTTAAGCTTCAACAGTAACCATGGGTATATTATACCCGATTTTGAAAATATCAAAAAAATATTAAATATAAATCATTATTTGAAATATTTTACATGCAGGCACTTCAAACTTTGTAATTTGAGCACACATAGTTTAGTGTTTTAGGGTTAAATAAATTTAACAAACTAATTTATTTACTACTGGTTTACTATGAAAAGTTATTTAAGTGAATAGAATATGGGGCAGCCATGAAATTACTACAAGAGCATGAAATTAGTAAAAAGTATATATACAACGCTATTGAAGAGATATATGATTAAAGTTCAACTAATCAAATATACAAAAAACGTTTGGTGGGTGATGAGGAATGCGGGATGGGGGATACGATATTAACATTATTTTCGTCGTAAAATAAAGATAAACAATTTCTTAATAATATCAGAAATTCTAAAATGCTAATTTTTCTAAATAAGTAAAATGCATGAATATAAATTTTTAAAAAGAAACAGGAATAAAATTAATGAGCAATTGATATTTTCAGGAAAAGATCATCTATACGGTGTGATGAATAAATTATTTTTCTTCATTCATTTAACCATTATACAGAGTACGATGGATAAATTGTCGCTTAAATGCCGCTAAAATGAAAAAAAAAACACTGATATCTCATCTTGACAGATATATTTACCCAAAAATATGTTGAAATACAAAAGAGTAATTTCGTTCAACAAGATCTCCATTGGCTTCAACCACGGCCTCCATATGACCCCAGAATCTACGGCAAACTTTCTGGATGGTCTCCTTGGTGAATATTTTTCTTGCCTTCAGTTCATCATTGATGTTACCCGAAATTTTGTTGGTCTCTCATTCAAATGCGCCTCACACATAATAATCAAGGTGGATTGCAGTTTGGGGGAGTTAGGTGGCCAGATATAAGGAGTGATGTACGCAGAAAGTCTGATAGCCATGACGGGGATCTTCTGCTTGTGTGGCATGGTCCATAGTCCTGTTGCCCGACAGAGGATCGGCTATCAGCCACCCTCTTTTCCCAGGACAGCACTACTTCTTAAAAGCACTTTATGTAGTCCTCCGTGTTGAGTTTGAGGCCCTATAACGTCGCCATTACTAGTAATCGCTTCAAACAACTTCGTAATCACCATTAGACTCATCCAACTCTTTTCCAAATTCTCTGCACTGTCCTCAGATTGATGTCCAAAAACTGAAATTTTTATGTTGGAACTTTCGACCCGAAAACCAAACAGTACAAAACGCGGGTTCCAAATTTGTGCTGGTGTAAATTGCATCACTGCGATCTTTTTCTCAGAGACAGCGCCCAAATGGCCCTAATATACTGTGCAGGCAGGCATATATATATATATATATATATAGATAGATAGATAGATAGATAGATAGATAGATATGCAGAGATTGAGATAGATAGATAGATAGATAGATAGATAGATAGATAGATAGATAGATATTAGGTTGGTGCAAAAATAATGTCGTTTTTTGACGTTCAACTTCAAAAGATCATAACTCCTTTCATAATAAACTTTATTAATCGAAATAAGAACCATTAGAATCGACACACTTTTGCCAACGAGAAACAAGTTTATTTATCCCATTAGCATAGAAATCCGGAGTTCCGGAAGCGATGAAGTCATTGAAGGCCGATTCGGCATCATCTCGGCTTTTGAAGCATTTTTCGCGCAGGAAGTTGTCGAGATGCTTGAAAAAGTGATAATCGGTGGGCGAGAGGTCCGGTGAATATGGCGGATGAGGCAGAGTCTCGTAGCCCAATTCGTTCAGCATCTGCAGGGTCTGTTGAGCAACATGTAGGCGAGCGTTGTCATGGAGGAGAATTGGTCCCTTCATATTGACCAATCTCGGGAACATACGTTAGAGTTTCTGGTGCATTTCGTCAATTTGTCGGCAGTACTTCTCCGCCGTAATCGTTTCGCCCGGATTCAAGAAGCTGTGATGGATGAGACCGGCCGCAGACCACCAAACAGTCACCATAACCTTTTTTTTCCCGGCTTCGGGAAGTGTTGTAGAGCGTCTCCGGTATCCAACCACAGTGCCGAACGTCGCCGGTTGTCGTAGAGGATCCACTTCTCATCACACGTCACAATCCGCTCGAGAAATGGGTCGTTTTTGTTGCGCAGAAGGAGCGTAGAAACACCTCAATACGGCGATTTTTTTTTATTATCTTTCAATTCATGCGGCACCCATTTAGCCAACTTTTTTGACTTCCCTATTTGTTTTAAATGGCGAACGACTGTTGAGTGGTCAACCTCGAGTTCAACAGTAACTTCTCGTTGCGAGGATCGGCTTCAATTAAGGCTTTCAAATGTTCGTTATCAACAGCAGTCGGCCGGCCGCGACCGTCTTCATCTTCGAGGCTCTCGTCACCATTGCGAAATTTCTTGAACCACCGTTGTGCCACACGTTCGTTAGTGGTTCCTGGGCCAAACGCATCATTGATATCACGAGCTGTCTCGTCAGCTTTTCGGCCTAGTTCGAACTGGAACAAGAAAATCGTGCGGATTTGAATTTTGTCCATGCTGTCGAAAAGCCTGCAAAAAAATGAATGAAGAGATTGAGAACGGTAACGAATAACACGATTCGATAGAGCGAAAAACGCGCTTCAAAATGATATATAACATGGCTATATATATCAATGAATTAATTCAGAAATCATATATAAAATTAACATATGTGAGAAAACGACATTATTTTTTGCACCAACCTAATAATAGATAGATAGATAGATAGATAGATAGATAGATAGAGATAGATATGCACAGACTGAGATAGATAGATAGATAGATAGATAGATAGATAGATAGATAGATATACAGATAAGATAGATAGATAGATCGAAAGATAGACAGACTAAGATACATAGTTATGCGCAGAGATAGATAGATAGATAGATAGATAGACAGATAGATACATAGATTATGGGCGCAGAGATAGAGATAGATAGATAGGATGGATAGATAGATAGATAGATAGATAGATAGGCGCAGAAATAGATAAATAGAGAGATAAGATGAGATAGAGATAGATAGATAGATAGATAGATAGATGATAGATAGATAGATAGATATGAAAAGGCTGAGATAGATGAAATAGATGGAAATAGAGATGGATAGATAGATAATGAACAGACTAAGATAGATAGATAGATAGATAGATGAACAGATGGAGATAGATATGAAAAGATGACATAGATAGATAGATAGATGGATAGATAGATAGATAGATAGATAGATGGATAGATGGATAGATGGATGGATACAGATTGAGGATAATGAAAGGATAGATGGATAGATAGATAGATAGATAGATAGATGGATAGATAGATAATGAACAGAGATGAGATGGATAGATATGGAAAAGACTGGGATTTAGATAGATAGATGGATGGATAGATGGATGGATAGATGGATGGATAGATGGATAATGAACAGACTGAGATATGGATAGATAGATGGATGGATGGAAAGATAGATAGACAGATAGATGCATAGTTATGCGCAGAGATAGATAGATAGATAGATAGATAGATAGATAGATAGATAGATAGATAGATAGATAGATAGAACTACAGAAATTGAATAAATATAGTGTACAAGTGGAGTGAAATAGCTTTGATCTTCTGAATAAATAACGAAATTGGATAACGTTCAAATAGAAAAAAAATACCGCAGTAAATAACGTAAGAAAATTGTAGAGAATTATTCTTGGAAATTGGACGCATCGTCCAGTGTTTCTTTCAGGACCAAAAATAGACAGGCCTGTCTTACAATACAACTAAAATGATCTCCTTCAAGGGTGAAATATGCGCCAAGCTTTAAGCACCAAACGTGAATATCAGACAAAAAATATTATGAAAATACAACACAAAGTGATAAAAAATGGTAAGAGGGGAACTAAGGAAAGATTCCAAGGAAATATGAAAAATGTGAGAAAGTAGGTAATTAGTCGTAAAGAATAGAGTGGAAAATAGCGAGGAAAAAAAGAAAGACGAAGAAAAAGTGTAAATAGAAAAGAACGAAAGAGAACGAGAAAGAGGAATGAAAATGAAGGAAAAGAGAAATAAGTAAGAAAATGATAAAGGAGGTGAAAAGAAAAAAAAATGAAGACAAAAAGAAAGGGAAGGTAAAGAAGACAATGAATCAAAATGAGAATCAGAAAAGGAAAAAGATAAAAAGTAAAACGGGAAAGAACTTAGTATGAATAGAAAATGGTAGAAAAAAAAGGAAAAGAGAAAAAAGGTTGACTAGGAGGAAAGAATTGAGAAAAAAACACACATAAATAACAGGAGGAAAAAAGAGAAAAAGGTGAGAAAAAGGATGGACTACAAGGGAAAATAGAAAAACAGGAACAATCTCAAAAGTCGAGAAGAAATGAAATGAAAGGAAGTTTTAGCTGTAGGCGAAAACCATATATTAGAAAGAATTTTTAAAAAATGTGACAGAAAGAAAGAAAGAAAGAAAAAAAGAAAGAAAGAAGAAAGGAAGGAAGATAGAAAGAAAGAAAGAAAGAACAAAAGACTGTCAACAAAACAAGAAATATGTTTATCAAGTAAATATGAGACCCGGTGTCATAATGAAGAAAGAATAAATTATTTAAGGAGACTGAAAAACGAATGTGAAGATTAAACTAAGGAAAGAAAAGATGTAACAAAGGTGCAAAGCAACTGGAAAGTGGCGGCCTCAAACCTGTATAAAGGAAAATGAAGTGGAAAAATATGGTCTGCATCGTCGGTTATTTGGTTATGTAATTGCTACAGGCGCCACTGGTCAGATTTGACCTGAGGTAAAAACCGACATTTCAAAATCTACTTGAACGAATTGTTACAAACAACCGGCCCCAGATTTCCTTTCCAAATATATTGCCCCATAAAACTTAATACATAAGCTAATGGAGGAAAAAAAGTTAAAATGACAGCACAAAAGTTCTGGCTCGATGAATGAAGTTAAGCAAATTTGAACCTGGTTAGTACATAGATGGGTGATTTCTTAGAAGCCATACTGTAAGAAAAGTGTGGCCATTTGCCAATTGATGAAAAGCTTAGTAAAAACTGAAGATCAAGGAGAGGAATACAAAATGGCGACATAATGAGCGTCAGTAAATCATGAACGAAGGATGGTAGGAAAACAGACGATATTAAGTGAAATACTTCTTATTTAACGGAAGGAAAAGAACAAAAGCGTAATAGGTCGACAGAAAAATGAATTATTAAAAGAAAAAAATGATCGAAGAAGGAAAAAAATCCGGTTGAAGAAGACCAGTGAAACGATATTAAGAAAGATACTAAGGATATTGCGGAGGATAAAATGCAGCATGTGATAAAAAGCGAAACGAAATAACAGGCTATATTATAAATCAACTTAAAATAGGTAAAGTTTGATTTACTTGAAAGATAGCGAAGGTTTATCTTGAACCTTTTTTCTTTCTTTTGCATTATTGTGGCTATTTGTTGCTTCGTCTCTACTATAAATCATTAATTTTTCTTTGCTTTACTGTATACTTTTTAGTTGTTTAGAAAACTCCCTGGAAATATTTTCAATGACACTACACTTGAATTATGCCATGCATGATATATGTGAGGCCTGCATGAACGAACGAAATTACAGTGAACAGTATCCGTACATATACATATATATATATATATATATATATATATATATATATATATATATATATATATATATATATATATATATATATAATACACAAATTTATGGCGTTTTTTTATTTGTATGAAAAACGAAAAGTAATATTCACTAATCGTGAAAAAGGGGAATATAAATATTAATATACATATGAATAGCTATACTTAAACGTAAACACATAGTATATATATATATATATATATATATATATATATATATATATATATATATATATATATATGTCTGTGTGTGCGTGTGTGTAAGTGTGTGTGTAAGTGTACGTAGGTTTATGTTTGCACATATGACATACATCTACGCCTATGGAGAAAATATTAAAGAAAATACGTATGCATGCAACTGTTTACTGCTCTGTGTGTATGTATGCATGAGTAATGCAAGCATTAAAAACTTTCATGATGTATGATTGCAATGTAAATTTTTCTACATAAATGTGTAATTGAAAATCTATCAGTCTCTGTAAACAGTAAATGCAGATAGATAGATAGATAGATAGATCTCCCATTCGTCCGTGCATTGAATATTGCTGCCACATCTGATCTGATCTTATCTGGTGCTTCTGTGATGTAGAGATTCTTGACAGAATCCAAAGAAGAATCTGCAATACTATCGGTCCTGACCTGATATACTGGTTTCAGTCATTCCCCCACCCCGCCATAAGCGAGCTTCCCTCTGCTTTGTCTATCATTACTTCTATGGTAATTGTACTGATGGTATTTCCTCTTTGGTAATTTGACTAGTAATTTAAGCGCAATGCGAGACAGACAAATCGGTCCCATCATTTTCCTGTTGGTAAAGCGTAAATTCTATGCTAATGGTTTTGTTGTGAAGTAGAAGTTATCACTAACCAGCCGCTAAGCTCGTACTTCGGTATTTAGTCACCCTCCCACGAGGGCATCATGTGGCACAAGGCCGGTTTAACGTGGGATCTCCGAGCCCGTGGGCTCGTACAAAAATATGCCTTTTGAAGCCGTATAAATGGGTTCAGGGTCGGTTTACCTCCCCGAAAGAGACTCCGCCCTTCGGCGTAGCCTCGTTCGAGTTCCTCCCTGCCCGAAGGCAGAGAGTTCAACCGATCAGCCGATCGCCCGACTGCTAAGCCCGTACTTCTACCTCATTATTCCCAGTGACCACTTATATGAGTGTTCACTTATGCAAATTATGCATACTAATTTGCTAGTATCACTACAGTTTTCTTTTCTCGCACTTGTGAAACTCACTTCCGATTTATTGCTTTCCTGTCAACTTGTTGGTTTAAGGAAAGCTTCTGAAATTTAAATGCAATGCTAGTCGTCATCTCCTGTCTTTTTTAATCCGTTCCTTTGTCCTTTCTCCTAAATAACATTTTCTCGTTTTCTTTCAACTCCCTCCCACCCTTTGTGTCTTGGTTGAATTATCGTTTTGCATGGGGTGAAAAGATTAAAAAAGATTCTGTCAAAATTAAAGGCAGTATTTCAAAGCAAATTTTCGTTGGAATTCCTTTATGTTTTCTATATAATCAATCTCGAATGTTTGTTTCTAGATTAACATTTAAAAGGTACTTGTGTTTTAAATCCGTAAAAGTTAATATATCCAGAGAAGGCTAAGTCGAAAGAAACTAAAAAAAAACAAGGTATTAGCAAACGCTTCCCACTGTTTGAGTCATAAAATATTCCACCCTAGATAACACGTATGGCTTACTGGAATTGAGTCATGATTTCTGTTACTATAACTACGGAATATCTCATTGTTACGTATAGAAGGCCAGGCTGCGTGAAATAGGAATAAAAGAAATTATATTGTATTCCATATTATTATTAGGAAACTCTGCCTCCCCTTAACGAGTTCTTTTGTGTGTTCAGTTTTGTCCAGACAAAAGAAAGAAGGAGGTTGGAAAAAAGAAAAAATGAAACAAGAGGAGAAAGAAAAGAACAAATTAAAATTTCAATATAAAATTTTTAAAAAATTTAGGGAAGAGAGAAAGAGAGCGAGGGGTAAGAGACAGAGAGAGGGAGAGAAAGAAGGAGGGAAAGAAAAAAGGAAAGAGAAGAGAATTAAATATGAGCCGATAGGCTGACCTAGAAATACATTTTTCCTTGATGGGCTGAACAAGTTAATATATAGGGTAAGACAGGAGGTGATATGAATTAAAATAGAGCAATATGTCTAATAATCATGTCATTTCAGACAGTAAAATTTCATCAGAGTATTATAATCATCATAATTTCAAATTATTATTATTATCGTTAATGATATCCGTTTTTTTCTAAGCATTTCACCCCAAGCAAGGCGGAAAGCCACTAGCACGCAAGGGGTTACAGAGGATTTGGAGCGAGAGCAGATAGGAGTGATAGAGGAAAGGATGAGGAGAAGGATAGTGGATAGATCAAGGCAACTGGAGATGTCGATTGATATTACATTTAAATATTTGGAGATTATAGCTATCATGGAAACAGGAATAGGGAAGGGAGTTCTACAGGCGAGAGGTGCGAGATATGAAGCTATTGGAGTAGAAGAGACGGCTACATTTAACAGTTTCAACAGTGAAAGGGTGTGAGCGGGATGCCAGCCTCGTAGGGCGCTTGAATTCATGAAGTCTGGGAACCAGCGAAAGCAGATCATTGGAGGAATTACCATGAAAGTATTTGTAAAAAAGTCAGAGAGAGGCGACAGTGAGTCTGTGAGAGACCGACTACAGACGAGATGCCAGAACGGGGCCAATTATATTGCATATCCGTCTCTGGATCTTATCAAGAACTTCGAGGCAAACAGAAGGGGCTCCAGATGATATATGGCAGCAATACTCCATGCAAGGGCCAATTGTTGATGTGGAGATCTGAAGGATCGATTCCGGGGAGAAAAATTTCCTGGCACGGCACAAGGAGCCAACTTTCCTTGCAGTGGACGAAGCAATTGACTCAATGTATTTATTCTATCTCAGGTCAGTAGACAAGGTGAGACCGAGCAGCCGCAGAGAGGTGCTCTCGGGAAGTTGAGTGTCAGACATTCTAATGGTGAGCAGGGAAGGATCTCTGTAGTGATTAATAGAGAGCAATTTTGCTTTGGGGGCGTTAAAGTTAACCAGCCAATTTTTGCCCCAGTTCACAACCGATTGGAGGTCCTTTTCGAGACAGGTTAGTTTTGTCAGAGACACTAGATTTGTTTTTGAGGCAGGAGTAAATTGTAGTGTCGTCCACGTAGATGCCTAGTTGGGAATCCCTGGCGTCCGGAAGATCATTGATGAAGATAAGGAACAGAGTAGGGTCTAGGATGGAACCTTGGGGAACACCTGCGTTCGTGGGATAGGAGCTGGAGGAGAATCCGTTGAGAACGACCTTCAATTACCGGTTAGACAGAAATGATTGTATTAAGTCAAACAATCAACCTGTAATACCATAACCCTGGAACTTGCGAAGAAAGCCAGCATACCAAACCCTATCAAACGCTTTGGAGATGTCTAGGGCCACGGCACGAGCTTCTCCGTTATTCTGAAGAGCTTAGCAGACAATTTCAGTGATGGCCGTAAGCACATCAGCTGTAGCGGGCAAAGCGGAAGCCATATTGCCTGTCTGAGAGCAGATTATGGGATGTAAGGTGGTTAACCACTTCGGCGATGATTAAAGCTTCGAAGACTTTCTGAAGAGGGGAAGGAGACTGACAGGGCAGTAGAGGGATCGCCGGATTTCTTAAAGACAGTAACAATCAATGAGGACTTCCAGTAGTCTGGCAAACAAGATTCCCTGAGGCAATAGGTGTATAATTTGGAGTGGGCAGGCGCCAGTTCAGGCGCACATTTCTTCAAGACTAGCTGGTATCCCATCTCCACCACTAGCCTTGTGGGGGTCTAAATTAGAGTTAATGCCCAATACCAATGACGGGGTTATGTGCAAGCCGCTCAATAGGGCCTCAGTTCTAAGAGGGAAATCGGGTATGGGTACACCGAAAAAATCGAGCGTTGAATTTAAATTTTTAATTTGAATTTACCCGTTCAAAGCATTCAGCCTTCAGAGGAGGTCAGGACCTCAAACTTGTTGAACAAAGGAGGTATAGAGGGTTTGCTACTGTTTAGTACGCTCTTGCAGAGAC